AACGTTGCCTCAGGCAGGAATCGAACCTCGGTCTATTAGAAACTATGTGCTACGCGCTTACCACTACACCACAGGGACATATTATATACTATGTTTATTTAGTAATTTATACTTGTAGCTATTTGGGAATTATTTCTTTGATAAGAAATAATTTTGTTTAAATATTATATAAATATTAAAACGAATAGTTATATATTATAAAAAATGTATACTCGAAAATGTTAATAGTTAAAAAACTATGCTAGTGCATCATACAAAACCTCATGATGTTTTATCAACCATTATTCAAACTTCTTTCCATTAATAAAAAACACGCTTAGTTCACATATTTATTGAAGAGCGCAATTGCACACATATTGTTGGGTTTGGATTAAATTTTCATCAGCGATGTCTTACGACGTTGTTCCGACGTCGTTTTAAGGACGTTGGATTGACGTCGGAAGACGTCAAAAGACATCGGAGTACGTTAATATTATGACGTTGCCCGACGTCTTTTTATCGACGTTGGATCGATGTCAGTACTGCGACGTTTTTTGGACGTCTTTTACAAGATGTCGGAACAACGTCAAAATACATCGAAACGACGTCAGGGGATGTTGAGATAAAGACATCGCCCGACGTCATTTTACTGACATCGGAACAACGTCGGAATAGGTCTTTTGACATCGCTGATGAAAATCGTACGTAAATCCGACGTCGGATTGACGTCGGGTGCCCACTGGGTTATACTTTGCTTAGCATATATTCGGACACAATGTCTGTTCGGTCCTTATAAATTAACCACAGAATTTCTACATGTTTTTGAAAATGGCGCTTACCGCGTTTGGAAAATAAACTCTTCATTTGTTCTTTGATAAAACAACGAAACAGCATGATTGAAAATTAAAAACAATTAAATTCGCAACTAAGTTCTATCTAGCTAATCTATTTGGCTGTTTCAAACAATTTTTCATTAATTTATGACTCAGCGTAGCAGTTGAAGAAATGTCTTCGTGACATCACTCAAAACTGTATTTTTCAGTTATTACAGTTAAATATAAAGCTATTATTATTTTTAAAATATTTGAATACGCGTAAAAAGGGCTTTTGTGCCATTAATTGTAATGTTTATTATTGGAAGTCTCAAAAATTAAACACAATGTGTCTACAAATGGAATTCTAGAAATAAATTTTTGCATTCATTTCACAAGGTTATAGTGCAATTGTCTCATAATAATCTCATGGTGTATGACCAATGCTATTTTGTTTACGGTCAGTCTGTAAGATCAATGGTTCAGACTGTAACATGCGTAACTTGAAGACAGCTTTTTTGTCCAGCTTGAATGAGAAATATTTTATCTTTTGCTCAATCTATCAACATTTATTGTTACTTCTTATAAACACTTGTCTTTCGTCAATGCAGAAGATTGCAATTTTGTTTATTTGGATTATTGGTAGACAAAATTTATTCTTCTTCAATACCTCAGGTGATACGCAAGAAAGCAAGGCTTTAGTGAATGCAATCATTCAGATCAATTTCCTCATTCAAAAAAGAGTAAAGTTGACCCTGAATCGTATAATTTGTTGGTAGACTTTAAAATAGCTGTAACTCTATCGTCTAAGACTGACAGTAATGCCACAAAAGATGAATTTGAAAAATTTATCTCTTGTGTCACTACTGTCAGCCAGTGACAGAGTGTAATGCAATCCAATTCCGGAAAGACAATGATCGTGAACATAAGCTTCCAAAGATGGCATTGATTGCTAGAAAGTTGTTGGCTATTCCTTCTACAAGTAATGCAAGTGAAAGAGTGTTTTCAGTGTGTGAGGTGACAATGAGTGATTGCAGGGCTCACCGAAATCTAGAAACATTAGAAATGCTGATATTTCTCAAATTTAGCCCTGATTACAAGACTGACAATTGGCTACTTAAGCTATCTCTGTTTTCAGAAAGTTACTGCTTTTCTGTTTTTTCTTTAATTGCAGTGTTTTGTTTTTTGAACTTTTGAAGTTGCAGTAGTTAAAGAAAATTATTTCAAATAATTTGCATTGCTTTAACTACTGAATATTACTTTAAGTCATTTGTGTTTTATTATTGTGAATGTAACTAATTAAAAAACTATTGCGTTGATGCTCAACCCGAACTTTAGTTGTTATTGAACCGAACCGAACCCGACCTGCGCTTAAGGCCAAACTGAAATAAGAAAAAAAATAGTATATATATATATATATATATATATATATATATATATATATATATATATATATATATATATATATATATATATATATATATATACACACATAGAGTTAATAACATTTCCAAGCGAGAAACAGAAGTACCGATCATACAGTTTTTTTTGGAAATGAACCAAAAAATCTGTCAAGTTTTTTTTTAGAAAGTGTTAATGTTGACAATATCTGGCATATTTCTATCGAAAGTAATGATATCTGGTGGTAGTACATTCCAATCAACTGCCACACGGTTACATAAAAAAGTTTTTCGAGCTACACATTTAAAATTCTTGGTACTAAAATACGATGGGGAAAACCCCGAAGACACCGGCCGGTCCAGGTTGCGCAAGTGCAGGAGCAGGAGATGGTGCTTCGATCCATTTAACTTTGCTTATGCCGTGGTAAATCTTAAAATATTGTATAAGATCAAGTTGGTGCTCTATACAGTTCACATCCTTAAAAATGAATTAAAGTATCTTACGACAAAAGTAGCAAGAATATTAATAAAAAGTTGATAAGTTGCATAAAATTTAATTCAATTAAGAAACTGGCTATATCTGTATTAACATGATTCAATCCATTAATATTTGCGGGCTGAAATAAACAAGAAAAAACTGTTATGAAAAAACTTTTTTGAATTTTATTGGTTTTTAATTAATTATATAATAAATATTTCATTATATTTAAAATATTTCAGTATAATGCAAAATTTTGATTTTATCATAAGCAATTCAAAAACTTATCAAAAGCATGTTTTTTTAATCTTAAAATTCCTCCTCTTAAAAAAAATTGAAAAGTTTTAGACAATTATTATTTTAATAGAAAACTCCCAACCTAATTCCGTAAAATTATATTTAAAAATTTAAAATTGGAAAAATCTTTAATCAATTTAAGTAATTTTGTTATATTTTTGTAGATTCTGTGGGTTTTTGTAGGTTCTGTCACTTAGAGACGCCACTATGGGTTTATTGTAAAAAATGTTAAAATAAACTAAAGGCACCAAGCTAGAATTATGTTTTTCGGTCTAAAATACTTTTTATTCGATG